TTGGACTTATCTTTATTGACTTATTGTCGTTTTACTATATTCTTTTTGTCTCGGAATTATTCCTCTATCGAATTGACATGTTCGCTTTGTAGTTACGCTAAAAAAAAAAAAATCACTGGCTTGCCCAGCCTCATTTTATTGCTTCCGTAAGGTGATCTTGTAACATTCACATTATTTCATTTCACTTATGCCTCCTAATCTATGTAATTCTGTCTAATTGCAATCAGTAGTAGAGCACAGCATGTTTTCATTAAAATTTCTGCACCGTCTTTGACTCTTCTGGTATGTTGTGAAGTTTCGTATTCTACAAACTTCTGCCCCATCTGGTATTTTACACTCCAGTACATTGTTTCTCTCATTGTTTCACTAACTACCTGTTCAGTGAGCGCTTGATGCTTCTCCAAAACATCTCCACTCTGCACTTTTTTTTTTTTTATTTCTGTCTTGTTGGTTCTGGCAGATATCATTCATTGCCCAGTTTCGAAATGTTGCTACGAAGTACTACTAACTGGACGTGTGTTATTCCGCACAATTTTTCAATGAAAGATTGTGAAAACGGTAGAAATGGACGGTGTTTGTGTGCAATGTACTGCGTTTTATGTTATGAACTTTGAGGAATAAAGCGCCGAATTGTTTGGAGGAAGAAAAAGTCGTCCCGATCTGTCCATTTTTCTCGATCTGGACATGACGGGAAATGCTGAGCATAGTTTTTTCTGGCTAAACTCCTGCATTTTTTTGAATGTATGACAATAAAGAATGACAGGTAGCGGAACGTAGGTCTGTTTGAGGCTTTTTCCTTATTCACGCATAATTCAATGAAGAAGAAATCGGACGGAACTTTTCATTGCAAACTGTTCGTTTCGAGTCTGACAATGGCGTAGCTGGGGGGTTTTTTTTCTCGGCACCTTTTGGGAAACTGGGTGGGAAGAATACTTTAACTGAAGTTAGTTTATTGACAAGTTTTCAACAACATGATAAGCGCAAGCTTCAATAAGTAAAAAGGCTGAAACGTGTTTTATGGGGAGGTGAGAGCTGTTTCTCTTGCCTGGCAACGAATCAGTTCGGATGTATAATTTCCCTCATCGTCGGGTAATCAGCATTCTTTTTTAGCACATGAGTGCAAGTGATGCAGAGCAGCAAGAAACGCAGTGTTGCTAAATTTCTCCAACGAAGCGAAGTCGGTTTCTCTTTTTCAATGCTAGCCCGCTGCATGGCGGTGGCGCTCGTTCTAGCAGGTGTGGCTGACTCAGTCTAGAGACCGACTATCCTTTTCCACTCCTCCCAGCGATCTTTTGATAGTAAGTGGAAATCACAAGGGAGTCATTTCACCCTCCGCCCGCGGAAATCCTGACCATGTGCAAGGCAGGGCTATCAGAACTGGTCGGTCAGTCAGTCGCTGCCGAGCTTTCACGAATTCGACAGTACTGGTTGCGGTGGTAAGCTATCACACTGGTTGGAAGAAGCGCTTAGGTCGCACTACTGCACTGCGTTTTCGCGGACCGTTGCTGCGGCACTCTGCTGCTGATCGGGAGCGAGTTTCGATGAAGGGAACAAGCAGCCACTGATGTGCTTCTCGAGCTTCATAACGCCAGCCATAAAGCTGTGGTAGGTGGTGTCCTCGTGCGGGCCCATTTCAGTGCATCTTGATTCTGAAAGCTGTAAATGGGCCGGCGATGGCGGTGATTCTGCTGCTGCCAGCACCGGAGCTGCAGTAAACCAGGGAGTGACTGTAGTCGCTAAACGAAATACTGCTGGCATGACGGTGGCTGATGGTAGCGTGCATTGCTGCTGTTGCGAGTTTGTGGGAGCAGCAACCTGGATGTGTTGCTGCTGCTGCTGCCTGAGTGCGCTGTTCTGGTGAAGTTGCTGCTGCAGCAATAGGTGCTGCTGCTGTCGCTGCTCAGTGGTAGCGTTTAGCAGCTGGGGGCCTGCAGCAGCAGTTGTCGACGTCGCTGCATCCAAGCAGTGTTGCTGCTGTTGTTGAGCAGTGAATCGAGCAAAGTATTCGGGCAGGTTTGCAGTGTGTTGCGCATGTGCAGCGAATGCAGTTGCAGCCTGCTGCTGTGCATGCGCCTGGGCTGCTGCTATTGCTGCTGCCTGACTGACGTGCGCTCGTGCGCGCGCTTCCGCATGTGCTGCCCGGGCCTGAGCTTCTGCCTGTACACGTGCGAGTACCTGTGACTGCTCTTGAACCGCTTGTATTTGCTGTAGTAACTGCGTGTGCCCGATGTGCTGCTGCTGCACTTTGGCTTGCGCCTGAAGCGTAGCCAGCTGGTACTGCAGTCCTTGTTGGAAGCCGATGCTGCTCACTGCCAGGTGCACACCTCCTGCAATCAAAGCACCCACCATTCCCGCACATTCAAAAATATTATCAAAATGTAGTTGTTACCTCACCGATTGCTGGCACAAAATTGCGTTTTTTGCATTATTTTTCATAGAATCGCTGTTGCTAGCAAAAAATGCGCACTGATCAGGAAGGTACTTGCTGCTAAACAGATAGTTGCAGAATTGCATTAAATTTTACATGGTGGTAAATGAGGGGAAGCGCGAATGTTCTTTTTTACGCGACTTGTCCAAGCACGGACCCGGGTCATGCTCAGAAAATTTCAGCACTCTAGCTGTCTTGGCTTGCGGAATTTTTCGTGTTTGCACGTAGGATACGACAAATGCGTTTTACATTTTACCTGTTCCCAGACGTAAAACGGACGTTCGTGTCCTCCTGCTCACGCATGGAAACGTGAAAGAGTTTTTGGCGGGAAAACGATATCGGAATCAAAGAAGCTAAAACGCTAAATATTTGAGGTGTTCGGCTGTCCATGTGCGTCCAAAAGATTTTAAATTCAGCCTTCAAGCACCCATTCATCTCATGTACAGATACATTAAAGCTCAAATGGCACCATTCCAGTTCAGGAGTGAAAGGCTGTAATTTTACTAGGATGGTTGCTGTTAACATCTGGGTCCATGAACTTAAAATGAACTTTCACGTCGTTCTACATTTCACGTGCGGACAGTTGGCAGTGACGCTATCAATTTCTCAATTACGCAACTAAAGCAGCTAGAGTTCTAAAATTTTCTGCGCATGGTCCAGGACCACTTTTAGGCAAATGTGCATGAAAACACTTATACGTCTAGATCTCAGGCACCTCTAGATCTCAGGCACGGACATGTGGAAGGTTGATGTCGATAATTTCTTTACTCCGCAATCGGAGCAGGTAGAGCGCTTAAACTCTCGGAGCACGGCGCACGATTGTGCTTGGGCAGCTGTTCGTGAAAACAACTTTTCCGTTCCCTCACCACCTCATTTGCGATGCAACTTGGCGCTGATAATGTTTGCATGATACCCTAACATTGTGAAAACAAAAGTAATAATCAGAATCAGAAAAAGATGAAAAAAAGATAAATGCAGAATTTTGAAAAGAGCATATAAAATTATTTGCAAAGAGACCGTTAATAATAGTAACGAGTCCGAATTTGACGCGCATTTCTGTCCTTTTAGCTAGAAGTACCTGCCGGAAAATACTCGAACTGCCACTGCCTTCGAATACAATACTACTTAGCGGCAAGCATCTGTGAAGAAAACTGTAAAAAAAGACGCATGTTTGCACTGGCAGGCCTGGTGCATACCGTCATTGGTTTATGTTTTCGAAGGCAGTGGCAGATCGAGTACATGCACAGCTTGAACCTACTCCAAACTTTTTTGCAGCTGTAAAACTAACCGGGTAGTGAGCTCCTGGAATTCACTGTTGAAGCAATCGCTGATGGCGAGTCAGTGACAGCTGTAGATGAAAGCGCTGACTGTGTTACCGATGATGAGCTGGGTAATAACTGCATTGCGTAATGCATATTTAGGGTTTGCTGAGCAGTTGGAACCATGCTTGCATCGATGGAAAACGAATGCGTGAAACTGGCCGGTGCTGTTCTTCTCGACATCGCAACTTCAGCACTCTGTTCCTGCAGCTCATGTATTAGCAGAACTGTGGCCAATGGGGCAGACGTCTTTTTTTTAAGGCGTACGCTTTTTTATTGTAATGATTGGACATACTATGTGTTCATTACATCACTAACAAGTCCTTATTGTTAAGCATTGATTAATATAAACAAAAAGCATTGTGCAACAAAAGCAAACGTGCTCATGCATTTCTCCAACAAGGCTGAAATGTCTAGCTCGTGAATGAGCCAGTGCTTGCTGGGCTGCACGCTGTTTTAGTCAGTCAGCGTATGCAAAGCGTCAGAATTTTGAACTGGTGGCTCGCTATCGTCATTCCATCTAGAAAAGTGCAGCCGTTGGTCAGGAAACAACAGTATTTGAAAAGTGATCTTTAGCCACTCAGCTTGCCATATGTAACCTAGCGTAGTCTCCGAAAACTGGCAAAATTCATTTTAAAAACTGGCCTGGATTTAATCTTAACATCATAATCTAGGTTTAAGCAAGGTTTATGGCTTCATTTTAGGTCACTGGCTGAAGTTCGAATTTGCATCTTTCCTACTTGTAAAGCTAGTTATGCGTTCTTGCTGTGCACCGCTATAGTGTTGTTACAGCGAGCAAAAATGCATATTGTCAGAAGGTCGTCTGTGTGTTTGTGTGTGTTCGGAAGCGGGTGGACTTTGCCACCGATTTTCAACTCATCAACCAGGAAAACTGGGAGGCTGGAATTTTGGGACCATATTCCCACCCCCTGTCTCATCCTCCCGTTTTCGTTCATACGCGCCTATATCTCGCGTACGGACCAACCGAAAAAATATGCAAATTTCTTTGGCGGTAAACGATTTCGCGAACCTTGCAAGGTACAAAGCTGAAACCTTGCAGGGATATTCTCTGTGTATATATGACCTAAAGATTTCAAATTCAGCTGTCGCTTACGCTTATGCAGCGCATATGATCATGTCAAAGTTTGCGCTTGGCACTGTGCTAACTCGAAAACTAGCCGGAAAACAGTGGCCAAAATTTTATCAGCATACTTACTGCCCATGTGGAAATCGCATTTCCAGGTGAGTTTCGATTTACACTTGCGCTACTACTTAGGGCACTTCAAAGATATCTGTGGCGAAATGAATATTTCGTTTATCGGATAAGGTGTGAGGCTGAAGGCTCGCTGGGATATTCTACTTTCAGGTACGGTCTTAATTCTGCTTGGAAGTGGAATTCCCTGCAGGTGGGTATAAGAAATACTTAACCTTACCGCAAACTCAGAAACAAGTACATTTTCTCCCAAAATCCAGTTCGTTTACATATTTGGATTTTTTGATAAACGACTGCCCCAGCAAAATTTCCATTTTTCATTGAAGAATTAATTTTTGCATTTTCAAAAACTTGCATTTTTATGCGTTTTTGCT